TTAAAAAAAATAACCGTGTCCATAATAACAGATATCTAAACTCTGTATACATTAAAATAAAGTATTTTGTGATTTTATTAGCGGTTCAAGTCACATCACCTGCGGCCAGAATTAAGACGTTTGCGGCGCGCGCCCAAATTGTGATCATTAACTCCAAATCGACTTCATTATGGGCGTCACGCGATTTCCTTTACGCCTGCTACATTTATTTTATCTTTATTACTTATTTGCAAATTTATCATTTTCATACTCTGTAATTTTGTGGAAACAACCCGGTGGATAGCGAGCGATTAGGTATCTGCCTACTGATGTTTTGTTTGAACAAAACAGAAATTACAGACACGTAAAAATGTAATTCAGACTTTTTTATTCATGTATAAATTTGTACAGCGTTCGGAAAACTACGTCACATCGTCTCATCCAAAATACCTCAAAGTTTCAAGACGAAGGACTTTATGGTAACCAGTGCGTGTTGCCAGTGATGACTTATGGAACCGAAACATAGTCCTACACGGTTGCTCGTATGCAAAAGCTTCAAATGACTCAGTTAGCTATAGAGAGGGCTATGCTCGGAGTATCTTTGCTTGACAAAATCCGAAACGAGGATATCCCAAAGCCACCGACATAGTCCAAAGATAAGCAATGGACAGATAATAATGATGATTCAGTTTTTAATGATTATTGAACAGATACTAAATATCACAACATTTCTAATGCTGAATACAGCGAGCACAACTATAATGCCTACTTCTAATTTCCTTAAAATTATAAAAAAATAAATAAATGTAAAGTAATACCAGATAATTATTATTGGATAAAGAAAGAGCGTAGGAATAGCTAAAAATTTAAATATTAATTTAGACTTACCTATTCTAAAACATCATTTATGAAATGGAGGAAATGAGAAAAACATTTTTATCAATATATATATATATATATATCAAATATTTTATCAATATATATATATATATATATATATATATATATATATATATATATATATATATATATATATATATATATAGATTATTATTGAATATTTAAAAAAAAAATATATATATAATTAAACATATTGCTATTCGAAATAAAATCGAATAATAATAGAATAAATATAATATATAATGTGTGTCCGATAGATATTATTTGGTGCTAATGGAAGAAATCAATTGCCCCGTATCGATATAATGCGACTCACTATCGGTTCGCTTGGGTATCAATTTTCACGTCAATGAAGAGAAACGTTTCTAGGAACAGCAACATGGGCTTAATCATGGTAGCAACAATGGGATTCCGAGGCCGGATGTACATATGCCGCTATGCTCAATTCGTTTTTTTCTTCTTGGACATCATTATTATAACATATATCAAACTTGATATCTTATTTATTTTCTTAGTCGCCGTTACTGTTCAAAATGAAGATGTAAGTTTTTGTGGATCACTTTGGTCGGGAGAAGCTTATTAGTGCAGTTCACGCTCTAATGTTAAACAGGTTTTTGTTCCATTTCTTGCTACAATACATTGGTCGATCGAGCGATTTCATAAGGTAATAGTTATCCGTAAGTAAATAATGAATGTGGAAGTTATAGTGTGAAATCAAAGGTTATTAACTTCATAATAATTCAAATGAAGCCATTTTAAAGCAAAGATGTAAAATAAGAAAGTGCTTATTACTCGTACATTACCTGGTCATCTCTTTTAATGACTTTTATGATATAATGCAGCTACTTCAATTATATTGTCATTTCTTGTCCTTGATTACCTTACTTGTGTCCGGGTGGCCTAGCAGGTTTCTTATTATAAGATCTGTGAAATCCACCAAACATTTTTACCCAAGTTCTCTATTTTTCATTGAGATTCAAAAGTATGGTATAAAATTATTATAATATTTTTTAAAGTTTCATTATAGCAATTTATAGGGGAACTATGAACATACCATATTAGCGGTTAACTGTCCATTACTGTACATAGGCCTTCCCTCATTTGCCAGTTAGTAGGTTTGCCAGTAGTCGCCACGCTTGGTAGGCGGGTTGGCAACTACAGTTAGGCTTTTGATGATGTTTTAAGGAGAATGTTACCGCCCATCGCTCAACTATTTAGTTCCCTTAGTCGTTTCTTAAGACACCCACGGGAACGGAAGGGGTAGCCAATTCTATGCCGGGACCATACGGCAATGTGGTCGCGCCAATTCTGTATGGAATTATATGGACAACAAACACACAACAACAGCTAAACTCACAATGATAATTTGTATACTTAACTACATAATACTGCATATTACGTTTTTAACAGAACCATAAAGGTTCTGTTTCTCATTTTCTTGATGTATGAATTTTAAATAGACATCTAGGTAAAGGAATTATATAATTATTGTTATTAATTCCGAATTATTTATTATTAGAATTTTTTCTTCAACATAAAGAAAAATTGTAAGACTATAAAGTTTTAAATAACTGTAAAGTCTTATAGTTATTAAAATAAATTATTAAACTTCCAAGAAAAACTTACTCTCTACATATGTATTCGTCTTCAACTTTCGTATCGACGATTGACAGACAATAAAATATTTAATTCACGTATTCTTTTACCACTCAGTACACTTAAATAATCTAGACCACGTAGCGGTTCCATTTCATTATCGGCTGATATTGTAATCACATATCTTTAAATCTTAGCCGGTGCACGTTCTATTTAGAGTTTATTTTTATTGGCAAAACTTAGAATACAAAAGCCCATTAAGGTTTATCGAAGGGGATCATCTTTGTCTTTGTTGCCGTGAAAGCCCAAAACACCGTGTAGGTACTTTCTATGTTGACAATTTGGACGAAATATCGTTCAATGCAACCGGTTACACCACTCTCAGTTTTTTTTTTATGTGAAAATAACATAAAAAGTCGTAAAGTTCGGTGTTCGTTTCAATGTTGAAACTACACCTAATTGAAATGTTGGTGATTATAATTTCTCATCATTATAATTAACAATGTGACATTGCTTTTTATTTTACAATTAATTAGTTGATTAAATCGCTTGTAAGAGTAGCAAGATTTTATTAAAAAATGCTTGTATTTTTATTCACTGATGGCCCACCAATAAATAAAAATACAAGTTATGTTTTATGTAATTTACCAGAAATTATGCCACGAAATTGTGACATTATTGGGTACAGAGGCGTTACACATTTGTCCTCAGGAATAACAATGGATGTGAGGTGTTACGTACGAGTACATCATAGTATATTACGTTAAATTAAAGGTGTCATTTTGTTTATATGACAGTTACCAGTTCATGTTGGATGGGCCACCAGGTTGTTTGCCATACCAAACTTTATAAAAATTTTTTAAGATTATCTTTAGAAAAAAGAAACTGCTACGTAATACATGACGAAATTATTTTAAAATCATTATAAGAGTAAATACTATTAAATGTTAGTGAATATAATATGTAACATATATACAGAAAAAATGAAAACTTTATCTTTTTTAAATCGCTTACTAAGCATCAAAATGGTGCGTTGTAGTCGGTAGTCCTATCTGACTGAAATTAATAAAGCTCAGTGCGATCTCAAACATTAAGATGTGACACTATAATTTTATAAAACTCATTAAAAACTGTGAACCTGTTGTGCAAGTATATAATTTTTACTAGCTCTATCCACGACTCCGTACGTGAGACGGTGACATGTTGTTCAACTGGGATAAAGGTAGCCTGTGCTATGTTCAAATATCTGTGTATGCCAAATTTTATTCGATTGAACGCCAAAAGATTATAAGAATACGTACTTACATTCATAATATTAGTAATTATAATAAAGATTATAGGTAATGCACTAGCGTGATCGTCCGCGTTAATTAATTTTTTTTTTATTTTGTGTTAAGTTTGACCACTATCTGTATATCAAATTAATTAAAAGTAACGCATATTCTAGTTGTTGTGCTCGCAATGTCATTCGGTTTAAAAAATGTAACAGCGAAATTACAGGGTATGGAGTCATAACATCTTAAACCTCAAAAATACCAACGCATGAGAGGTATCTAGGTCATCAAAATATATGTATTGTATAGTTGTGAAGTTTTGTGGTGTTTTTTGTATTTATTGTCAACAGTTTCTATATTTTCAAGCCGGGATCTTGTTTACCCATCTAAATTAAATTTGTTTGTAACAAATTTAATAATATAATCTTTCTCGCAATGTGGTGAGGTATATGAGTTCATCGATACCTAACGTAAATAAAATGTTACCTAATTGAAAGATGCATTCATTTTTAAAAAAATCTGATACAAATGGTATCAGATTTTTTTATCCTTCCCTTATCTTATCCATCCCTTAGCTAGATTTTTCTTATTTTTTTGTTATGGTTCACAACATAGTGTATTTATTTTTCTTTAAATTACGCCTGACATTTATAACCATTGCAAAAGCAACAAATTCCAATTCAATAAGATAAAAAATGTTAATTTAGTTGTACGGTCTAAATGGTATTATCAAACCTTTATCCATCACTGATGCTAAACTTAGTCGGTTATTTGTTTTTCTAAGATGATGGTTGGTGGAATCTGATTAGCAGCTTGATTAAAACTAAAAAGGTTAATTTGATTTTATGCTTTTTCCCAAGTTGGTTTTTTACTAAATAACTTCTTGTTTAGTCCAATTTACTACTGAAACAGATACAACAAAATTTTAAGAAGAAAAATAAACCGTTATTAACTTTTTAAATTTTTAGTATATTTTAAACTTTTGCATTACGTTATTTAAAATATACTATCGGGACTTAATGCGATGAAAAATTGTTGCAGGTAAATAGTACCTACATACCTGCATATAACTTTGACAATAAAGAAGCAGATATGTAAATACTATTTACCTGCAAAAACTTTTCTTCTTTAATTTTTAAATTGCAGATCTAAATATTTTAATTATTAAGTACGAGTATAATACATAATTATATTCATAATTATCCACTAATAAGTTCATATTATATCTAATAATTATTATTTTGTTCACAGGAATTCAGACAGATCGCATCGAGCATGCGTTTGCTTCCGCACAAGAGTACAAAGAAGCTCTCGAAGCAATACGAAGAAATACCGGAGCTGTAAGTAGTTCTAATCTAAATCCTAAACATGCTAATATCTTACTTGTCTAGATTTTATTTATTCTGTGATTTAGAATGAAGCTCTAAACTCATTGACGCTTTAATAATTTACCGTAGCACGGCACACCAAAGTTATTTGCTTTTTAATTATTTATTTTTCACCTGAGTGAATATTCCTAATTCTACCACTCCAGAAGATTTTGTGGAACGACCAGAGAAAATATAACCTTCTCTTGCAAACATAGACGCCGCCCATGCCACCCATGCTTTGCATTCTAAAAACTAACTTGTTAATTAAGAATTTTCTTAAATGAAAACACCATGATACTTATTTATATATTAAATTTTTATATATTACCCTTTTATGATATCAATAAATAATATGGCTATAGATACTTGAAAGAATTACACTCAAAACTCTTACAAAAATTAATATAGTAGGTGCATGCCAAGTTATTTGCTACACATACCATTTACTAAATGAACTGATAGGCTATTACGGTTCTATTGTCGAAGAAATATATAGGCCTTACCATGCCACATAGTTACGTGATGAGATACGAGTACTTTATCTTCTTAAGTTAATGAAAGGAATCTATTAAAAAAAAACACGTTGAAAAGAATTGTTGCCCGAATAAAAACTCCATCAAATTCCTCATTTATTTTGTAGTTTTTATTCCCTTCGCGCATTTAATTATTTTTACAGGTTAAAATGAATTTTATTTATTAACAACTACGAGAAACAAAAGGTAATAAAATTATACGATAATATTTTTTGAATTGGTTTGGATGCAAAATTTATCCAATCACAATAATTTTCAAATGTTTAACCGTAATGAAAATAAATAGAAACTTTTCTAATTATTACTAACGATAAACATCGGTTTAACCAGGAACGCAGCAAGCCACAGCGTACTCTCGAAGCACAGTTGGAGGAGTCCAGGGAAGAAGAAGAACAGGAGTACACTGACGAACTGCTGGTACCAGAGCCTTGGGAGCTGAACAATACCGCACGGGCCGGTGTCGAGCTATTATTCTTTAACCGCGTGCCCAAGGTCGGCAGTCAGACCTTCATGGAGTTGCTGCGGCGACTGTCTATTAAAAACCAATTCGGTAAGTAACTACATATAATCAGTCATAAAAACCATATATTTGATATTTATAAGACTTTTTTTATTTTGTTACAAAGTCTACAGCTCTCGTTACAAAACAATATATATGTTTAAACTTACAGCCAAAGATTTACTAATAACCATACGAATATAGGTACCAAAAAATAATAGGTGAACCAGCCAGCTAAGAACAGATAAAAAATAATGTAAAATTTTATTATTAATCGTAAAAGGCGTGAACGTATGATAAGCATCTAAATAACTAATTAATGATTCTTTCCATCACTGACACTTATAAATTAAACTTAAGTAGGTAGGTAGTATTATCACTGCGACATTTTGAAAGTGTAGATGGTGAGAGGATGAGTTAGTGAGAGAACGAATAATAATTTAATTTACACATAAAAATATAATATATTCTTCAGATTCTACATTAGTTATAAAAAAGCAGAAACAACATTATTTTGAGAAACATGCGACTCACATTCGTAATTAACCAAAAAAGCTGAACACAGATTGAAGATCGGTTGTGATCAATCAAACTGTCAGTTTAATTCAGGCGATACAGCTAATTGACTAAGAAATTAATGACTGCACTCAACCTTGTTGATTGGTGTGATGATGGAGTAAATATAATGTGTCACCGTGCGACTAAAGAAACAAACCACAATACACCGGTGCAAGAGGAGACAAACTCGTAATAAAACCTTTACATGCTAATGAATTTTCATCCAGATTATATGCGTAAACTTAAAAAATAACCGACATTAACCGATTTTAAACATTCTTTCACCTAAAAAAGTTGTAATTCCCGTAATTGTTTGTATCTATAATAAGTTTACTATTGTAATCTTTTAGAGAAAACAATAAAGAGTATCCATCTATCTATACTGATGAATAAACGCAACAGTGTTTACGTAATTGTTAAAAAAACTTAACTTACCTAATTGACATGGGCATTTCTAAATACTTCTTTTTCTAATAATTCTACTACATGGCAATTTTCCAGAAACTTTGCACGAAAGTCGTTAGCTTGGATAATTCGTTTTCAAAGCGGCGATGTAATTAATTAGATAATATTAACAGTGACTGTTTGTAGGATTCCATCGCGATGCGGTACAACGCGTGGAGACGATCCGCCTCGCGCCACCTGACCAGGAAATACTGGTGAACTTAGTGTCAGCTCACGAACCACCAGCTTCTTATATCAAGCACGTCTGCTATACTAACTTCACCAGGTATGTACACCATAAGTTCCAAACACACAAACAACTGAGTAAGGAGTTCACAAGAAGTTAGGCAGAGAAATTTGTACTACATGTATATTATATAAATATTATACTTGAGTAATTTTAAACAGTACTGAAAACAGTAATGAATTATTCTAGTTCTCTATATGCCACTGACTTTAATATGAGGCTAAAATTACGTAATATATACATTCATTTTACATTCATTGTCACCTTAATTTAAGAACATTGCCCTTTAAGAACATGTAACCTTAACGTTCTAGAACTATACATTAGAAATATTTATCCGTTTTTCTCTTTAACGCCTATTTACATTACTATATTGTAAATATTCTAATACGAGTATGATTCATTATTAGAAGTTTAGTTTATGTATTCCATATAACGGTGTATCCGTTATACTTAGGCACATGATGCATTAAGAACACTTAATTTATTTAAATACTTCAAATATTTTTTCGATTTTCTCTTGCATAGTGTACTAGTTTTTAGTCATAAGTCATACAAGCCTGTCGTTAAATATTTAATTAATTAATTAGATCTTCTAGGCCTTCTAATGGAGGGTAAGGTGGGGTCCTCGGGGCGGGCCCCTCTGTCCCTAACTTCAACTCCGGGGGCAACTACCCTCGGATCACTGGAACTATGCCTCGCTATGTGAAACGTGGTCTTCTAATACGTTGTTGGGCGTCTTTTTCTCTCTTCTGAATAATAGAGTTATTTTTTTTAATAATAAATACGTAAGCATTTAAGTATATATACATACCTTCTTATTGTAAACCTTTAGCATAGCCTGTTTAAATACGTCTGTAACAAACACACAGTTAAATAGTACAAACTTACATAGAATCCTTTCGTCTGTTGTCCATAAGGTCTTGTTTAAACTGCCGTACATTCTGTGTATAGACTTAGTAAAAAATATTGTAATGTATTGCCACTCTTTTATCACAAGTCGATTACGGGAATAAAAAACAATATCCCGAACCTATAGCTAGTGGTCAATAAAGAACTTGTAATCCCGCGTGTAAGTGTAAAATATATTGTCTACAATAACTTGGCACGGCCGCCCAAAATTCAAAGAATTAAAAAAGTATAATAAAAATATTTACGAGGTTTTGACCAAGGAATATAATACTTCTCTAGCCGCTTCTGAAGACGTTTCCTCACAAACAAAAACAGAGCATCGTATCTTTAAATGGTCACACACATTGAAGTAAAAAGTTAGGGGGGCATATCTAGTTGACGAAGACAATCTATACCAGTGAACAATAATAAGCGAGGATGAAGTTAGTCAATTATGATGAATTCACCAGGAATTACTACGATGACTTCTAGACAGGACCACGCGGAGGTTATTCTAATAGAGCGAGCGAGCGATGTAGCTGACGAAGACGAAGAGAAGGGCGAAGGAATATTACATGTGTATACTAAGAATATTGTAATATGTTACCTTTATAACTTTCAGATTAAATAGAATATTACGGTATAAAGCACAATATTCGAAATCTAATAAAAAGAAGGAAAACGTAAAGTAAAACTGAGCAGCGTAAAGCGAAATCACTTTTCAAAAAGTTCTTTTGTCCTACTTAGGTCCAGCTATGGCCCTGTAAATTGTAGTATAACGTTCTCGTGTAAATCTAGCAATACATTGTAGCGACACACCGCAAGCACTTGCTCTAATACCACAACACTACGAGGTCCGCATCATTTATCTCCGGTCTATTGTAATGTGAAGTTTCTATTTTTACTTTTTATGTGTGCTGTGTACGACAGTCAACAATATCAGAGGCATTTTGTTTACTGTTGTTGTTGCCGTGCACTGTTCAACCAATGGGCATTCGTGACTCGTGAACATTTTTTTTTTAGCCCAATACTAAAATAACAATAACAACTCTGGATATACTACACATCGTCCTTTTGGTCACAAACTAAGCAGATAGTTAAACTTAAGTATTTTTTCATAATATACAACGTTTAAAAAAAATCTAAATTAATGGAAATAGAATTGCTTATGAATATAAATGTTTATTCTTTATTGTACACAAGAAGAAATAGTATCAGAAAAAGAATTAAATATATTAGTGCACAAGGGCGAGTTTATCTCTAAAAGAGTTTTCTTCCAGCAAACCCATGTTTATATTGCACGGAAATCAGTACCACCTGAGAAGTGTGTTAAATCGCTACACCATCAAACGTTAAAGCCGATACCGCCTATTCTTTCTACAGGTTCCAAATTCAAACTAATTAATCAATAATAGCTACCATCAATCAAAGCGCATACGCAGTGTTATTGGCTATATCGATATGCCCACGATGATTAATGTATCATCCCGACATTAATTGCTCTGTGGACGATTAGATAGCCGTTTGTTAACTATTGTACAATTATACTACCGCGGCACGTGTACAACCGTTAAACGACTCTATTGTTTGAATTGTAACGTAACGGAAGAAAAAAAGCACTGTTTTGGAATATTCATGACATCTCATTTAGAGATCATTATCGTGTTTGTTTGGTTTGCACACATCGTCAACTTTTTGTATGAATTTAAATTTAAAATAAAACCGGCCAAGAGCATGCCTGTCACGCTTTATTAGGGTACCGTAACTGTTTTCAGTCTAATTGGCTGTATTTATCTCTGCATAATGATTTTACATTTCGCTCCATAAACATGTAGCATAACGAATTTAAAAAAAAAAATTAACACGAATAACTCATATCGATTGCAAAAACGGTTTGGTATTGATAAAGGTAATGCATACGAAAAATACTGTTATCATACTGTTTTTTTTTTTCCATTTTACTGTATACACACACACTACCCTTTGGTAATTAATGCTCCTTACCACTCTGGATATCTTACAGAGTTAAGCTTCACAAAGTTAAGCTGTTTTACATCTTTATAAAAATAATTTATATAATTTGTAATCTTTATCTGCAATTAAATATAAATTACTCTGGTAGTGTGGCAACTACGGGCAAAACCCCCCCAAGAGGGAGGCTTATGTCCAGCAGTGGACAGTTAAATGATAATGATAAAATCTAAAGAAATAAATACAGATAAATAGAAAAATATTCTTTCCGAAGTCTTACCCCCTTATTCAAAAAAACGTCAAACCTCTCATAAACCTAATTTAGCTATTTAAGTGTTTTGTTTCTTTCTTTTGTGTTAAATAATCAGTTTAAATGAAAGTGACAAAACAGCATAATAGTTGAAATAGGTTTGTTGGAGGTTTTAGTTTTTATAAATAAGAACGTTAAAGTTTAATAACTGAATTTACGTGCTTATAGTATTTAAAGATTTACCTTTAACTCCTAACTATTGAGGAGTTGTACTTTCCATTATCAGCTCTGCAACATAAAATCTCTATATTATTATATATATATATATATATATATATATATATATATATATATATATATATATATATATATATATATATATATATATATATATATATATATATATATATACAACCAGATGCAAACATCTAAATAAGTTTTAAAAAAATATGAAACATCATACATGTACCTGTAAAATTTGAGGACAGCCCTCGATTTCCTTAGTATTCCGTGACCAGATCCTAAGTTGGTAACGATGGGACCAACTCAGAAATATACTCTATTGAATAAAAAAATATACAGTCGAGGATATAACTACTTACTTTTTTGAAATCGGTTTCAAAAATATTAATCTTAGAAGTAATAAATCATCAAACCAATACTGTGCAATTTAATAGTATATATTGAAATAATATATACATATATATATATATAATATAATATACATATAAATAATATAACATTATGATTGAAACCTACTCTTAACCATCAACCTTAATTCTGTAATGTCCATTGTGCTGTTCATGATTATAGCTATAGGCGACGGTTAGCACTTTCTATCAAGTGGGCCGTCTGCTTGCTTGCCATTTCAAGTCATAAGAGCTGACGGTCCACCAGATGGAAAATGGCAACTGTCGCCTATAGATATAAACAACAATATGGTAGGTAACATAACCTATATATAAATTGAAGTTACAATAATAGTAGTTTTCCAACACAGTAATATAAGCAGAAACTTAAAAACTAAATTGAACGTGTAAGAAAAAAAAGGTTAAGGTATATAAAAAAAAATACAACTGATTACATTAAAATATGTATGGATTGATTCTAGGTACGGATATCCATCTCCTATCTACGTGAACGTAGTCCGGGATCCGGTAGAGCGAGTAATCTCGTGGTACTACTACGTGAGGGCACCCTGGTACTACGTTGAAAGAAAAAGAGCCTTCCCAGACTTACCGCTGCCTGACCCTGCCTGGTTGAAAAAGGTAATTTATGATTTTGTTTTGATAAAAATAATTTCATTCTGGTAAAATTAGTATTAAATAATAATAAAAAAATTTCTTTGTGTTGTGCATACATTATTACATGTATGTATAAGTATGTTTCGATTGAAGAGTGGGATATAACTCGAAATTAAATGCAGGCATAACATCTCAAGAATAGCAATTAAGAACAAGTACCATGGGTGTCATGTTATAATTTTTTATATATGTACGTTAGTTGTTCATCTCTATAGGCAACGATTATCACTTTCCATCAGGTGGGCCGTCAACTTGTTCGCCTTTCTAAATTATATAAAAGTTACTTAAAAATAATATAAAAGTAAATAAGAAAAGGAAAAACAAAATGAAAGAAAATTACCTAGAAGAATCATTACGTCGACCGATATTTGTACTACTATAGATGTAACGACAAAATTAATTGATGCATTGAATTCTATATTGTATGTAGCTGAAATAATGAGGTCATAATTTTAAATCGACAGGCCGTTTGTTCTGTACAGTATGGCTTCTTTGTATGCAAGTGGGAAAACAACTACATTGTATCAAAGATATTAGACTAGCATTGTATAAAATACACGGTGGAATTTAATTTTATTTTCCGGCGACAGCGTTACTCTCGGCTATCAGTTTGCGCGCATCACGCCACGATCTCTTCAGAGGCTCTTTATTATCTCCGGTCGATCGTCCTACGTCAATTTGCAGATCAATCGATCCACAATCGGTCACGCGCAACGCCCGTTAACTGCGCCGGAGTTGATCCAAAGGAAAAAAAGCGTGTAATTCGCGCTCGACAACGACCCGTAATTGATGAGATAGTATGTTTTTACAGTCCAACCGTCTATTTATAGGCTTATTATTTATAAAACTAGAAGGCACTTTATCTCTCGCGTATCATATTTTACTAGTTATTACCTAACATTTTTTATTTAAAAATCTCGTTATATCAGCAACGAGGCTTAAATTATATCATATCCAATCGACTAGTCGTCATACAGCGATGAAATCTGATGCAACCATCTATTTGCTCTTTGTTTGCAATTTTATAAACGAATTATATGGTTCAGGATCTTGCAAATAGAAAGGATTCATAAAATACGAGTATTTTTATGTTATACTCATATTCGGTATATATAGTAGGTATGATCGCTCTTTTTTTGACGATGGATGGTGTTGTGACCTAACGACAAATAATTTACACGAACAAACCAATGATCAAATCTAAATCAAATTATCGATATTAGATCGAAAAGATATCTGAGACTTTAGAAAGTAATTGATTAGTTTGAGAACATTACTAGGAATGTAATTTAATCAGAACCGCTTTAATACATTTTTCAGTAATGAAATAACCTACTAAATTTATCTTTAAACACATCCTAACTCCACCGAAAGCTCACTTGTTTGCAAATATATAGGTACTAGCTCCGAAATGTAAGCCATACATTAATATATCCATTGCCTATAGCTAGTGGTCTGACACCTCACACCAAGTTATTATGAAAATTAATGGTATCTCAGAGCAGCTACGTTGTGTGCAGATTTTTCCTAGTCAATTATTAGCCTATTGTTGAACGGTTGATACATCGAAGAAGGGGCTACAGGCGTGGGTAGACAATAGTTAAACAGAGTTTGTCTAAATACATGTTACTCATGTCAGGTCAGAACTCATTTAATGGGGGCGCGCAAAAAATAAATTACTTTTGTATCGACAAAAAATTGACGTTTTAATTACATTTTCGTACAAACTGTCCATAATACACTTGTTAATGTTTTGTCGGAACTGTCCAAACTGTTTTGTCTACTTTTCGATTGATGCTCTCTTATTCTACCTTCGTCGATTAACTATTCGAAGAATTGCAACATCGTTCTTGTCTTATGAAATAATATCGTTTATATTATATATAACCATTTCTTATTTATTTAAATAATTGATTTTATGTAAAAAGTTGTTATATATACAATTTTATTCTAGTATCTATATCTAATAATTAGATATTAGGTTCAGAACATAATTATTTATGAATTAAAAATTTTTACTCATATCAGTATATATATATATATATATATATATATATATATATATATATATATATATATATATATATATATGTATATATACTAGCTGACTCGGCAAACGTTGTTTTATACGTTATTTTGAGAATTATATATGAAAATTTTAATCTTAATAAAATAAAAATGGAAAAATTTATCAAAAAAATATTTTTTTTTTGGGGAGGGTCACCCTTATCATTAGGGGTATGAAAAATAAATGTTGGCCGATTCTCAGACCTACCCAATATGCATACAAAGTAAAGCCGTTTCGAAAGAGTTTGGTAACAAACACCGTGACACGAGATATATATATATATATATATATATATATATATATATATATATATATATTAATACCACGAAATTCTCCGATATTAATCGATTGGAATAGCACGAAATATCCCGTTTTGTCCATCACAACAAAAAGTTAACAAGTTAAGTCTGATAGCGGTAAACTTAATACAAATGACCACTTTTTCTGTTTTGGGACAGTCTAGTCTTTAAATACTTCCTGTGAACCGTTTTCAGTTTCCAAAATAACATTGTACGCCACTTAATTTTTTCCGGTGTCTTACACCAGCTAAGTGTCTTTTTGACTATACCTAGTCATTGTACCATGTTGAATTATTATGCAAAGAAATCTTTCTAAAAAATAAAAGAAATCTTTATTTTTAGGCAAATTTGAAAATGTCATATGATGTTAAATCCTCCATTTACAGTCTAGGTGTATTAAAGTTTAATAAATAAATAAATCATTTTAATAAAGATAATGAATCTTCAACTTAGAATGGCAAACAAGCTGACGGCCCACCTGATGGTAAGTGATAACCGTCTCCTATAGACTTGAGCAGTACCATGGACATAACAGAGTATACTGTTTCGCCCATGCGTTGCCATTCCTGAGGACTCAAGTGTTATTCCTCTGTACCCTGTAAATTCACTACCATATCCCACCATTTAAACCGGAACACAGCAATGCAAACAACTACTTCACGGTAGAAACACGAATGGGACAGAGGTGACTAAGCAAACGAATTTAGTACAAAGTCTCCTCTCTCTGTACGTTAAAACAGTAACATCAATACTAAAATCGTTGCTGGTATTCGAATACCACAAGTACTCGAAATCTATATTTGAATATCGAGTATCCGAATTCTGTATATTAAAATCAGTACTCGAGTCAGGCTGACTCAGCATAATAAATATGATGCATATATGTTACGTGAATGCAGGACTTCGAGACGTGTGTGCTGAGCGGCGACCGTGAATGTCGCTACTTAGAGGGCGAAACGCACGAGGGCATCGGAGATCATCGTCGACAAACTCTCTTTTTCTGTGGTCATGAACCCCAGTGCACGTACGTATATATATTCTTTATTGCACTAAAACATACAGTAATAATAACAAATTAATAAGAAAGTTAGCAAAGGCAAACTTATCTCTAAAAGAGATTTCTTCCAGTCAACACAAACAACACAGTGGCATAGGAAGTAGTGAGTGGGCAGTAGTAGTGCTAAACAGAAACTAAAATAAATATTTACATTAATTATAAATCATTATATATATTGTACGCCTCCAGTTTTGTAATTTTATCAAATATAATATATCTCGTCATATTTGTACCTTGTGCCCTTTCAGCGATCAATACAACCAATTTATTGATAGAGTGAAAACGAAATCAGTTTTACCCGTGGTTTCTCTATTTTTCTCGTCTGTACACTTATTTGCAATTACATTATCAGCATACACTTCTAGTGATAAATATCAATTGAATTAGATTAATAATAATAATAAATGCAACTAAATCCATATTTGTTCAACCACATAAGTAGGTATGGATTTATTCTCTTACATTACAGGCCATTCAACACTGCTGCAGCGCTGCAGCGAGCCAAACGCGTGGTAGAGGAACAATACGCTGTTGTGGGTGTGCTCGAGGACATGAACTCCACGCTGCAAGCGCTGCAAGCTTACATACCAAGATTCTTTGACGGTGCTCTAAAGCTTTATTGGGGTGAGTTTATATGATGTGCCATTTTGTAATGTAACTATTGTGAACAATACCTTAATTTGGATATTGATATATGAGTATACTGAATAATAGCTTCAAATATATGTTCAAGAAAAATGCAATCTTCACATTGTCACTTCCGATGTTATTAATACTAATGTTATAAAAAGAATAGATTTGATTGATTGTTTGGTTATTGTTTGTAATAGATAAACTCAAAATCGACTTTAAAAATTCATTATCAATGAATACATAGGCTATATATTATTTTCGAAGTTTCTATGTACCCCTGCGAAGCCGGCCAGATCCCTAATCTGATATGATTCGTTTCTTATTTTTTTTAAATAATGGTAATAAAATTTACGTCTTTTGATAAAATTTACTATCTAATTATCTTAGACTATATCATGTACCTCTTAAATCAAAACGCCTATATTTCTACAATCAGCAAGAAAGTTCATCATCTCTTTTGCTAATTTATAACGAATATCAATTATTTTAATGAATCTTTAAATATTTATATCTTATATAACGATTTATAAATAATAATAATAAAAAAAGTATTGCATATAAAGATATACACCTATGGGCTACGGTAGTTTCGAAGTTTAATATATAAGTATAAAATGCAAAATTATGCCCAGCACATTAGTGGCTAAACTAGGGCTAGCCTGTGTCTTAGACACCAACGCCTTCAAAGAGATACATATTTTCGTGCAAATAAATAAATTCGTAATATTCTCTACTATTGCAGAGGAATTGAACACATTCAACCGTATCAACCGAAACGCCTTCAAACCGCCCGTCTCCGAGGCCGTCAAGCAAATAGTGCGAGCTAACTTCACAAGAGAAATCGAGTTCTACGAATTCTGTAAGCAGAGATTGCATATGCAACTAAGAGCATTAAGAGACCCTACTATAACTCTCCCAACAACCACCAGGAGTCAGAGGAGACGACGGGCTCATCGATTAGTGGGGAGGAAGTAACTAAGGACTTGATGGGACACCCATCTTTTGTAGACTGTTTGTGAATTTAGTTAATAAAGGACAATTATGAAGTACCTATACTTCATTTTGTATGAAGTCGTCTTGTAAGTTGTTATTCCGCATGTTTTTGATGGAATTTAGAAACGATATTTGTGAATGTTGAGCATTTGATAATCATGTGAATGTAATTATGACGTCTTATGCAAATTGCATTTTGTAAATTATATCAACATTCAGATATTTATTGTGCTTATTGGAAGAGTATGTAAAAATGAATTATTATAATTTAATTAGTGAATTTAAACACCAAGTATGTCAATCCAGTGCGACGTGAAACATGTTATTTAAGTATACTTAAACATAACCTTAACATACATTTCAGTTTACTATTTTGAACAACCTGTCAATATAACTTTATCGTATTTACCAGATAATGAAGATATAGAGGCTACGAAGGTACGATGCTATAAGAGTGTGTGACTGAAGATTAAAAATGTTATGAATCGTATAAAATAATAAATTTATGTATTTTATCAATTACTATTTTAATAGGACTGAATTGTAGAGCTTGTAGAGTATTAGCTCAAAGATCTTACCTCGATTGTTTTAAAGCATTTTCAATAAAGAGGATTTTCTCAATCCATCAATGCCTTGTATGTTACATGGTATCTGTGCTATTTGTAAATCGATTTTGATATTTATTTTTGCAATCGATAGGGTTTATTCCCGTATTGATTCTATATTAACATTACCACGCTTCAAGTCACTATATTTTTTTAGCAGATTTTAGTAGAATCTTAAATTATAACTTATAAATTCTTGATTGTTTTTTATTTGTTATTCATCAACTCTTTTCATATATGTGGGAAATGCGCATTTTTTTTAAATTAACAACATTATGCCTAGCGTGAAAAATAGAAAGTCATTTCCTAAATTACAATATTACAGGAAATTTTGTGAACTAGTGACTTTTATTATCACTAAAGAAAATGCCTTCTAAACCTAATAAAATATATAGCTTTCTTTTATTTATCTCATTATATTAATTTACTTTTTTATAATATACTAACTGCCGCTGCTCGCCCAGGTTTCGTCTGGGTACACCAACGAAGAAAATGGGATCACATCTTTCCTATTTTAACCCAAATTTTATTCCATACAAACCATTCCATACATAATTCAGCACAAGCTGACAATAACAAACACAACAAGAAGAATTAAACAAACCAAAAGGACAACTGTACCAGTCGTTCTGAAGTGATGTGATTACATACATTCGCCAATTGATTTTTTATTTTATACATATTATGTCTATTTATTGATTATTACATTCATTAATATATGGATAAAAATTAACTAAAATTAATAAAATATATTTTTTTTAAATACAGACAAATCTGTATTAAGACGGCGTAACTATGTACGAGTATAGGTACTAAGGTATACCTGATAAATAATATAGGTGAAGTTTTTAAAGGTTGATGAGTTAATGACATTTAATCTGGTTATATAAGATCACTTATTGTAATTAATCTTGCTTCAAATTTTGTATATAACTAATTTTAGATTAAAACGGCTTTTTTTAACATTTTTAAATAAATATACATAAGGTATTGTTAAATATGATAGGACCGATGGCTACAGCATAATTCAAGAAAATATCGGATTTAGATGTTTTATAGATAGATAAGAATGCCATGTGTTATCATTCCTTTTCATCCTATGGATGTCGAATTAAGCGACTAAGTATATAAAGCACGAAATGCCAGTAAAACAGAAGTAAACCTTGAAATAAAATACTATACTAGGCCGCTTAGGTAGCTCGGTAATAGTAATATTCTCCCCTATTTCGCCGTGTAGTCCCGGCATAGAATAGGCCACCCCCTTACTTTCCTGTGGGAGTCGTAAGAAGTGACTAAGGGAGGGCGAAAGATGAGCAGCAGCGTCCCTCTTTAAACATTTTCAATGCCTAACTGCTATTGCCAATCCGCCTGCCAAGCGTGACAGCTACTGGCCAAACCCCCCAAGGGAGAGGCTTATGTTCAACAGTGGACAGTTAAGAGCTGATATGATGATTCATTAATATGATCATTCTCCCCTAATAACAAGAGGATCGTGCCCACTATTTGCATGTTAATGTGGTGTTATAAGCACCTCATACAAAATCCTTATCTACATAGTATTTTGAATTGTAATATGTATTGACCGCCTTATATTACTGTAAATTTTATTGCTATTTAATTGTTATGTAATTATTAAGTTATTATAACAACTGTAATTATAAGAAATAATTTTGAGCATAATTTTATTTATCATAGAATAGGTGCGTATTGTTAAAACCATGTAAATATGAGATGAGGTGATACATCCAAATGACAAATAAATTGCTATGGAAGTAGGTACCCCTACAATTGTTTAAACATTAAAATGGCACTCTAATAATCATATGTTTGTGAAAAAATGTTGTTATTAGTGGAAATAAAATTCATTTCGTTACTAACACCGTAACGTAATGGCATTTGACTACTTACATTTCCGAAAAGTGCCTATTAAATTAGAATTTTACTAATATTCTAATTATCATTTCACCTTCTCAAATTATTTTATATACATCGATAAATTAAGATGATGCATAGATATTAAGATAAAATATTTATTGGTTAATTTCAGTAAATAAATAAAAGAATAGAAACGGAGCTATGTACAGTGTAACTTTATTGGTGTAAAAGGTGCTATTAGACGTTCGAGAAGCGATTTCGTAAACAATGGTAAGATTGTGTCTATCTGGATAAACTCTGTAAGGGATTATTAAAAAAAAATACTAAATGATGGGCACCTTAATTTTTTGGAGATAAAATTGAATATGTATTTAATAACATTTGATTCATAGCCACATATTTTCCGTAATGTTATAATAGACTTACGTATCGTTTAACTCCAAGAAATTCATGAGTTTAAGATATTTGAAATAGAAGGACAAACCTATTAACAGAAATAAATCATAATTGTTAATAGAAAAATTTCTATTATATATTCATTGTTAATATAAATTTTCAGGCTTCAACCTGCAAATGACTCGGTCATTTTAAATTATACCTACTTAATTAAAATTCTACTCAATGAGAATATTTATTTCGATATCATATGACAAATTGTGATATTTTCGCCTTTTAATAATAAAGTGTTAAGAATATACATGGATCTAAACTTTTTATTTGATAAATTATATTACCTACCTTCCTTTCAAATTTAGATCGTGACTTCCAAAACTTATTTTACACAAATAATATAAAAGCAGACTATAAATTTTATTAATAAGCTGTTTATCTACAATATGACCTCTGTGCGGGTCATAATAGTATTAATAATACAAGTGCAAAATAATCAATAATATATCTTATATAAATAGGTGTAGAGGCCAATGAACCAAAAGAAACTTCGATGTACTTAGTAGGTATTTTAATTGTTGTACCATACAGAATCGTGTAACAATATAAAATCAAACCATAAATTTTTCAATTATGCATATTGATTTATTATGTAAATAGTTATTAATAAAACAGATGTCAAATAACAATAAATATTATACGAGTTGCAAACCTGCCATTCATGCAGTAAAGTTAATATGGCCACATTGTATAGAATTCAGGTACATATTATAAAATAAAAAAAAACTGCCTATTAAATAAGTAATATTGCTTACATGTAAAAATAATTTAATTTTATAATTTCTAAAAGTCTTCTTGATTAAAATCTCAAAATCGAATTAACAATTATTATTATCAGTTCTGCGGAAGTTTGTCATGAGTTTATTTCATAATTATAAAAATATAGATTCTAAATATTTGCAGTTCATAACATTGATACAGTTATTTAATATTAAAATAGTAAATAGGTAAATTGCTGTTCTTTTAGACTACATATACCTGACTATTCAAATATTAGGCATGCCTATAATTTATAGTTTATATATAATGTAACAATGTAACAAATAATGTCACAATAAATATTTTTTTATTTTTGTAATAACTGATATCTACAGTTCGTAAAGACGTTAAAGTGAATAAAATCTCGCTAACTAGGTGATGCTATTACATAATAATATTTCGACATAGACCTTAAAAGGCTAATAGATTTTGTAAAAAATGTATTAAAATATTAATATCATTCATAATTCAATCATATCGTTTTATATATACAAAGGAACAATGAAGGCATCCATTCGTTTTGTCGACATCAAAGCCACTCCTGCGCAGTATGCGCTGTTGTAACCCATATCGCCAATGTGTTGTGTTCGTTGCACCGCATCACATTATAATTTATTGTCCTACTATTATTGTAATAAGATTCTAGAACCAAAACTTCGAAAAAATACATATTAAATCGAAATCTTGATATTTTTAAATGGCACTCTTGGACGAGATGCGCGTTCGTTGGATTAATATCTACACCTAATCTATTTTATATCACAAAAACGCTTTACCGCTTTTAAGCCTCATTAATTCAGGACTCCACACACTCTCATCCGAACAGAACGCCACCGCAGCGGGCACAGGAATGTGACTAGCAGCGGGTGTTTCAAGCGAGCCGCGCTATATGCGCTCTGCTCAGGAACTCGCCGGAATACTCGCTTTCATTCGTTTGCCATCGCCGTTCCGATACTGACTTATTTTCCTCTGGGATCAGCCCGTGCAGCGTCAGTAAAATGAGGGATGCCAGTCTACTGTTGGGTGCAGTGGCCCGGGTAAAGTTGGTGAAGGCAGTATAATTCCCAGTGCTAAGCAATCAAAACAATAGTTAGCTCCACTATTATTATCCCAAAATTGCTGCCCTTTGCATTGGAATCGAACAGCGAGTTCCAATCTTTGGCCAGTTGATATAGAAGGTGCATATAAAACAAACTGAAATCGATCTGAATATCCATCACAGGAGCCCTGTACATATGAAGCCTGTAAGTCCGTATACGTTATCCATCTGTTCAATGTATAACGAACATGTACAGTTTTATGAAAGTCTAAATTGCGTACCCGTACTGACCCGCATACGGTTACGTGTACACCATCGCAGACTCGCGCACTTTCCAAACACACATTAAATATTTCAAGTTTTTCCGTGACATCACGGGGTAATTGGAAAAGAGGGACTAACGTTAAGGTGCCGAATCGAGGTGGAGCTCGTACCGGAGGAGAATTTTGCATATCACAACCAGTGAGATCATCATAAGCTGATTTTGGAATGACAGGAATTTCATCCATAAACGTTTTAACATCCGCCAAATCGAGACCTAACACATCGGCAAATCGTACGATTTTTTTTCGACCAGGTGTTCCAGGCGGTGTTTTACCAGTTTTTAATGAAGAACAACGACGAACTCGTTGCGGTCTGTCATCTTCTATATCATCATTATCTTCCACTTTAATTTCAGCGCTCAAAAGTGTCGGTTCAATTTCGGGCGCAGGTGATATTTCTTTTTCGATAGGTACTTCACTGGTTATGATTTCCACAGCTTTCGTTTCTTCTTCATATACTTCAGTTTCGTTTACTTCTGTTAATATATCGTTTTCGTTTGGTAATTCGTTTTCTGTGACTGATAAATTTTCCACACACTCTGTTACATCGTTGTCTAAAAATTTATCACTCTGAAAAACTTCATCAATACCATCAGACGGATCACTTTTGGCCGATTCAAATTCTGAATCACTATCTAAGTTAACACTAGAATATTCTGGTAAACTTAATCGATCAATGTCTACTGACGGGGAAGATTTCACGATACAATCTGTTTCATCGTTACTATTTTGTCGCGCGCAATCATCAAATGTGATCGGGGAAAAGAGCCGTTTATCAGCATGACCATTTTCACGTGGTGATGGTTGTAGTTTAACTGGAGATTCTGTATAAAAAACTGTAGAAAATTTAAACCGATTTTGTACTTTGTCGGGTTGGTGAACCATAAGCTTGACCTGTTCTTTAATTTCTGTTTCTGAGTCGACATCATAAAAAGGTGTTTCTTTATCATCGGTTTCGACCGATGGACGTTCTGGAAAAGAAGTATCAAATTCATCAACAGGGCTGGAAGGACTCTCGCATTCTAGTTCAAAATCATAAAAAGTATCGTGGTCGCATTGGGTGGTGGATGTGGTGGGCCGGTGTTCAGCGCCGTCGCCTGTGAGCCAGCTACTTTCGCAGTCTTCGTCTTGAGTCGCGCCGAGGTTCCGGAGTCGTGAATGGAGGTCGCGCGCGAACGCAGCAGCGCGACCGCGACACGACATCGGCAGTAAAGATGTCAACCCGCACTGAGACACGGAATGATCACCACTCATCTGCGTCTGGAAATAATAATAATAAAAAACTTTAATACTGGTATTCTACATAAATTATTATTAGTTATTCATTACGATTTCATCCTAAAAATATCCATATGAAATGCAAGTAAGCATAATAAGTAGATAATAATAGGACGACAATATTGAATATTCATTCGTGATTATCACAACATGAAAGTTGAATGTCAAGAGTGAACGAACTTAATGATAAGATAATAAAATTACATAGTTTTGCTATGAACAGTATGTCATGGCTATCAGTATGCATAGATGTAGTACAATACTCAGGGACATAATGCATATATGCAAACAAATGAAGAAATTTCAATAAATAAATAGCAAATAAATGGAAAACAGGCGGTGACAATTAACTATAATAACTTGTATGGTGTACCTACGTATAATAAAGGTTAAATGTATATATATAGGTATCGAAATATGTTTCGGTTTATATTTATCAGTAGTAAATATAATACAAGGTGCATTATATTTCTTAAGGTTATTTTAGTAAAACAATTCAATGTCATCATGTAAGTACCTAGTTTACATAAATATTCCTTTTAGCATTTTCCTTATCAGATACGCACGCTTGTGTTTATATTGTGGTTAACATCATATGTTATGATTCATTATCGCTTTCTCTCATCAAGAATATAATGATTTAAGATTATATTCTACAAAAAAAAATCAACTTGAATATTAGTAAAAACAGTTATTTTAATATCAAAACTAAACGATTGATCCGATTTTTTATATAAAATTTCTATGGGACTTATCTAAAAGACATATTTTAGATAAAAAGAGTTTTCTAAATATTTTTTGTAACTGACGGAGTTTTGAAGTAAAATCAACTAATTGAGACCCTTTTCCTTTTTTTGAAGTCGGTTGTACATTGTTAGTAATCATAGATATAACCAATAACAACAACCATAGAAGGAAGTCTTGCGTACATACTCGTAATTAAACATTATACATTTATCACAATTGCTTAGTCACATCAGATTGCATTATTTAATATACTTTAGCCCTCAGGTGCGGTAATGCATTCTAGGAACTCATATCATTGTTTAGGCGAGACATGATGATTGCTACCCACCATTATGTGAGCTGTCGGTTTATTTGTCACTCCCAGTAGTGTAAATAAAAATCTAGATATTTGACTATTAAGCGGAACATATGATGCAATCGGTAATGCTATTAACAAATCTTTTTTTTAGTACCCAACAGCTATAAAGTTGACTACATCCGTTTCCTATCGCTGTTTAAATATTTTTATATCTCAAAAAGAATCCTCCAACGTCATCGTTAAAAGTTGGCACGGATCGAAGCAGATCTCACGTCCAGCTGTTTAGAGCTAAAATTGTAAATTTTACATCAGAATAACATTATCCGAAATGAATTCACTAATTAAAATAAAAGCTTAAATAAATAAAAAAAAACACCTTCTCCTTTCGAGTTCTTCAGGTTGATTGGAAGAAATCCCTTTAAGGGATAAGTCCGTCTGTGTACATTTTTGTAATAACCTATTGTCTATACTATAAGCGAATGTACATTAATAAATAAATAAAACTTTTGTTTAAGTAAAAAATCTTTTTAAGGTAATGTCTATCTGTAAATCGCAAGGTTGTGAATATTGTAAGGAACATCTGCTTTTTCCTACACGAATCTGTCCTTAAGGTCGACAGGTGACCCAATTTTCAAGCAATGACACCGTTCAGAATATAGAGTGAGTAGTGTAACCTTGACCTTTCTGTGTAACATTACATTAAGATCAATTGAGACCAATTATTTCATCCAAACAACAATGATTTAGGTATAAATGAAATTAATATTATTATGTGTATTTTTTAATATTAGGAAAAATAGTTTATCGACTACAACTTGTTCTGTAGTGGTATACTCGTAGTTTCTATTTGTTTTTTTTTAATTCTGTTCGCCACTCTTACGCCTCTCGTGAAGCAACAATACATGTTTCATAGCAAGAATTGATTAAACGATGATTCCTATTTCAACCAAAATATTTATTCCTATTAGACCAAACGCAATGTTGTGTTGCAAACTGACAAAAAAACTCAATACAATCTTACAATGACATAAAAGGCATAAGTAATAGATACCTGAACGCTTACTGTTGCGTTCAGGTACCAACGTATCAATTTATGTATGAATCTTATCTAATTTACTTATTTTATTTATTTATCTTATTTAGCTATGCTAGCAGTCCCTCTGTATTGTTAACTAGTAACCTGCCCCCGACTTCGCATAGGTGCAATATATGTTTATGCAATATTTAAACTGTGCAAGATATTTTAATAAGATTGGTATTTTGGTGTGTGTAAAAGTACTGCATGCATATTATTCATGATTTGAAAACGAACAGCTTGTAAAATTAATTTTACTTTTAACATAAAAACCATCTTTTTAGCCGACATGTTAATCTCATATAGTATCGCGGACTTTTTTATAATTCTAAAAGCAACGAATAATTTTGCTATGGATTTTATTTTTTTATTTCAATCCATACTAGCAAACAAGGCAGCGCCATAATATAGCATTTTTGCCTACTTTAATTACATTTGTTGTGATTAATTATTCAAAATATATATTAACCAAATTAAAAAGTAGTCTATAGCACTCAAGGATAATGTACCTTTCTAACAGTGAAAGAATTTTTAAAATTAAATCAGTATTACTGGAGTTAACCTCGAATATCCAAATTCACAAAGTTTAGCTCTTTATGATATTAGTACCATGGACGAATTCCATCTATGATAAGTATTAATATAAATGTTTAAAGAAGAAGGTATTTATTTTTCATTATCAAATACTCTGCAGCTTGTTTATTATTTCAAATTGTATGTAAAATTGTTCAATGTCAACAAAATATCTAATCAATATAACACTACATACACAAATTTTTTAATCAATACTAGATATTATTATACTCCAAATAAGATTTGTATCTGTTGTCTGGTATATAGTCTTTGTTGGCAAGGTTATTTTTATAGTATGTTGATCGTAATATGTATCAATCCGTCATTGTACAATATATTGATGGGTTAATTTGTTATTATCATCATCATATCTGTTGTTATGCTGATATGTAATATGATACATCATATATGTTGTCCATTGCTGAAAATAGGCCTCCCCGTAAACCCCCATTTGTTATACCCAAAATTTATTTATAAACTATTATTACAAAAATAAAAATGTTTATTTGTTTGTCCGTTTATCAGCACGCATCATAAATAAAATAAAAATATTACTCAATACATTTTCATTAATCTTGGTACAGAAGTAACTAATATTATATTATAAAATAAGTATTTTTTTAACTTATATAATCAAATGATAAAACTGTAAAAGGAAATTTGTAAGTAAAAAGTTTTTTTTAAAAGTTCAGGGACTGAATATCACTGGTGCATCGGCAAAATAAAAATATGTACCCGTAATTTTTTATGCATTTTACCCTAGAAACTTTATAAGCACAGTTTACTGTTACAACTAAAAAATGGTTTTGTGATTTAGAGTTCCAAAAAAATATAGTCACCAAGGTTTTATGCAGTAATTTAAAGATCCAATAAGAGTCTAATCTTAAGTTATGTTTAAAACACTATTAAATAAGACAATAATAGTCACACGGTGTGTGAGTTTCGGACATCACCGAGTGGTCAAGAAATCTGGTAAGTGAATTGTCTAAAATGATCACCTGCAAATCATTTATCATAAACTTTTAACAATTTTTCTTCCGCTAATACATTTTGTCAACTGTTTGGCAACTAATTCACTAAAATTCAACTATAAATATTTTACATATTAGAATTGACATCATTAGCATTATTTTATGAGACCAGTGAGGAAATGTATGTGTAAATAAATAAAGTTTTAGACTCCATGACACGGTGCGTCTATCATTTATATTAATATGGTAGATTCAAGATAAAAATAGATAATTAAGCTAGGATGTTTTGATATTTGAATATGGTGTAAATATTACTTAACTTCACCAAATAAAACGTCTTCTGAGTAACCCGATCAGAGTTTTAAACATTTTATTATCCTTACGAAAATTGTTCTCAATTAAACATACAATGGCAAAATTAATTGATTTCACGTGACAATTTGACGTGGTCTCAGCCACAATTGAGAACAAACACGTCTCGTATTGGAACAAAACAACTTTCAATTGAATATTGCGGTGGACGATGCAATAGTTGTAAACAATATGATAGACATGTCCCCCTACTGGTTACTGAAGCGTGGGTAGAGAGACAATTTCTTATCGCTGCATTACATCAGATCATAAGTAGTTATATACCACTTGCATCTCATGTTTATTATAAATTACGGTCTTAAATGCTTTAAAATTGATCATAATATTATTAATGGGAAAAATGAAAAAAAAAGCAAAAAATTTATGTAAGGATAGAGAACGTTTACACTCTTTTATATTATATCTACCTAGAAAAAAATATAGTAAGATAATGATAGAAGTACCTATAAGAAGTAATACAAGTTAATATCTCATGTAGTTTTAAATTCAATAGAATTGAATTTCAATAGAAATAACGGGTGGACTATGTCACAGACGTAAAGTACGTGTCTCCAAAGATGTCGGAGATCGCTACACGAAGTGTTAAAACAAATAAATATCTAAACAGCAAACTGAGTTTTGTTTCACTGCTAAGTTTTAAGCAAGTTCAGAAAACTAAAAAGCGGGAAGTTTTGGATATACTTCGCCTTTTTTCCAGAACATGAGATTTTTGTCAATTCTATATATACCAATTCTGATCATTCTTTTTACATTCGATGGATCTTCTTTTTACATTCGATGGATCTTCTTTTTTCTTCGATGTCATATTGATTCTACATATATTTTGAAATCAATGTTTTATTCTTTTATTATAAATTATGTATATTACGAATTTATATTTGTTCCAACACATAGGAATAAATGTATATAATCTTATGTAAATTCCCATAGGCTACTGTAACAGAAA